GGGTCTGGATTTTGCTTACTGTACATGGATGGTATTGTCTAACATGTTGCTCTGCCCTTCTTATTGAAATACAGTCGACACACAATGTTACATTGGTTTCAGGGGTACAACATAGCAATTCAACAGTTCTGTATGTTATGATGTGGTTGCCCTGTCCCTTTTTTATTCCTGTAAATTGGTAATCTGGAAGATCAGATTTGGGTTTAATTTTTTTTGGAAATACCATTTCTTAGGTAGTGGATGTTCTTCCATCAGGAAGCCTAATGCCTGACTTTGTGTGTGTGTGTGTGTGTGTGTGTGTGTGTGTGTGTGTCACTAGAAATCTATGGAATCATGTTTGACAAAACCTAACTATGGAATATTCTGTGGCTTATTTTTTAAAACCATGTTCTCTGCTGATGATTGAAACTAGAACTCCTAAGGAAGTCTTTAGACATTCAATCCTGATAAGATAAAGCAGCAGCTGTGCTATTAGTTTACAGCCATATGTGAAACTCCTCACCACAGCGTGATGTGTAACCTGGGCAAGCCACCCCTCTCTTGTCGGAGCAGGGATCTGGAACTGAGCTGGCGGTGTGAGATCTGCCCCTGTTGTTGGCAACAGGCAGAGGTCATGTTTGGTCCATTTGTACTTACCAACAGAAAGAATATTCTCAACGACCAAAAAGAGACATAGCTTCTGCTCTCCAGGAGTTTGCCTTCACAAAACAAAACAGGACAAGAAAAAGACAATTATTCTTAGCTTCCAAGCAAGGGATTGTGTTACCACAAGGATAGAGTCTCTTACTAAATCAACCAATTCCCCCGTCTGTCTGTCTGTCTGTCTGTCTGTCTCTCTCTCTCTCTCTCTCATCAGCTTAAATAATGAGAAGTTTGGCTGTTTCCTAGATAATTGGCTAATGATGTGTGACAAAGATAGGAAAATATTGCTTTAATACTGTGTAACCCCCTTTCACTCAATGAGGATATCTTTCCCAGGTGATGTCCTCTTTGCCTTGCTAATAGCTATTCCTGATAGTGGAAGGATGTGGGTGCCACAGTAATACAGGGCAGCAGAATCTTGCTCTGAGAGAGTAGTTACTTTGATAAGAAATCCATTTGTGGCATCGACTTACATAATACGACTACATGCAAAAACAAAAAGTGTTCATCAGGTCTCATTTTAGAGCAGCTGCACACATAGACACGTCCAGGCCGATAGGACTTCTGATTGGCTTGTAAACTGCTCAGGCCCACCCTGTGCTGACAAATGTATCACTTTCTTGTGCCAAGACAGACTAGTCCTGTCTGTCTTTCAAAGAGGGTAGTAGCCTGTATAACCTGAGGTTTGTAGACTCCTGAGGGGTTACCCCCTTCATTTCAAGTCCACACAAATTCCAGGGATTGTGGGAGGCCCAGGTGCCTCCGTGGGGACTTCGGAGGTTCTGCAGAGTCCTGAGGTCTCAGGTTCATCCCTTCACTCCTGGCTCTTTTTCCGTCAGTCCTGACTATTTCCATGAGGTCCAGCTCTGTCATGCCCCAAACAGACATTGGCAGAAGTGCAGTGTCCCCTCAGGGTTAACATTCTGACCAGGAGCAGCTTTTTGGTTCTCAGAAGGGCTATTCCAGCTGCCTCCCCAGAGCAGATTATTAACCACGTTTATGGAGCTGTATAAACAGCCACTGTTTGGGCTGACTGTTTAATCAATTGTCAGAGAGTTGATAGAGTCGGGTATTGATTTTAAAGAGAGAAGGACTGGCAACCTTATTATTCTGTTGCACTTTTATTTAACCTTGTCTGTGGATGCCCAGATAGACATGGTGGGCATGGCAGTGGAACCTGGTCTTCCTCAACTCACTGTGTCATTGGTGCTAACTGTAGATGAGTCTCTCCATGTGAGTTGTTTTTGTTCTAGGGGGTGGGGGGCAAGGAGTGCAGATTGCCGTCTGTTAGGTCTGTGGGCATTTGGCTTCCATATGAGTGGGAGTATTTCCACCACAGAACTTTTGAATATTTGGTGCAGTTGGTCAGACAGGATCATTGTTAATTAGCTGACTCCCTTTCTTCTATTCTGTGGAACAAAGATCACAGGATCAGGCGTAGGGAGGCCCACATTGCCGTTCCTACGTTGCTAGTAAGCAATCTGGGTTTTATTTTCTTCATCTGCAAAACAAAAGTGTATTAGTTTGCTAAGACTGCCATAACATAGTTCCCCAGAGTGGGTGGCTTAAACAACAGAAATGTATTTCCTCCCAGTCCTGGAGTCTGGAAGTCTGAGATCAAGGTACTGGCAGGGTTGACTCTTTCTGAGGTCTCTCTCCTTGGCTTGTACATGACCCATCTTCCCTGTGTCTTCACATGATCTTCTCTCTGTGTATGTGTGCGTCCTAATCTCTTACAAGGATACCGGTCATATTGGATTAGGGCTCTGCATATGACCTCATGTTCCCCTAATTACCTCTGTAAAGGCTCTGTCTCCGAATATAGTCATGTCTGGAGGTACTGGAGGTTCGGACTTCAATGTATGAATTTGGGGGAATACAATTTAGCACATACCAGAGGGGAAGGGAGGATGGGGTGGGGGTGCTTAAACAATGACCTTCTGATAATGCTCTGAGGAGGCCTCAGAGACTAGGGTACAGGCTATCTTAGTGTACCTAGTTCTGAGAGGTTTCCCAGGACACAAGATTTTTAGTGCTGAAGCTGAGGCAGTCCTAGGTGAACCAGGATGGTTAGTCACCCTCCATGTCTCCCATACGGGGCACAGGGTTCCCCAGCCTGCCTCAGCCAGACCTGGGCTGCTTCTTTCCACTTAAACACCAGCATTCTAAGTGTTTGAATTTAACAAAAGGGTTTGTGGCCAAAAATCATTAGAAAACCACTTGATTCAATGGCCTTCAGGGTCCTCTCCCACTGCCACATTCTGTGATTTAATTTCTTTTGCACATATCAAATTCCAGCCATTTTTCTGAAACTGTTAACTGATTGGAGTAAAACTAATTTGGTTCTCGTTAGTTCATGGCTAAAAGTGAAATAAAAGAGGAAACTGTTGAGCCTTGCCTATTCTGAACCAGAACTAGGTGCTCTGCTTTTATGATGCCAGATGCCCTCTTTGGGCTCTCATTATGCTCACTTGACTCTGCTATCATCTTTTTTTTTTTCTAATTTTTTTTTTTTAATGTTTATTCATTTTTGAGAGAGAGACAGAGTGTGAGTGGGGGAGGGTCAGAGAGAGAGGGAGACACAGAATCCAAAGCAGGCTCCAGGCTCTGAGCTGTCAGCACAGAGCCTGATGCGGGGCCCGAACTCACAAGCCATGAGATCATGACCTGAGCTGAAGTCATATGCCCAACCAACTGAGCCACCCAGGTGCCCCGACTCTGCTATCATCTTGCAATCCTTCTTGCAACTCTGTGAAGACGTTGTATCACCAGTCACAGCAGCCCCATGATGCCAATGAAGAAACTGAGGTGCAGAGACATGAGTAGCCAGTTCACATCTCAGGGCTGGTCAGGGAAGGAAGGGACAGGATCATGCAGACAGTTTGACTTGAGCACTACTCTGTCAGGACACTGAGCCTAGCTGTGAGTGTCCCTGCTGGTGGGGGAACGGGGACTGCCCTGGCAAGTGTAAGGTAATTCCATCTAGGCTGATGGGCCAGATTCTTCTCTCCGGGAAACACATCTCTCCTCTCCTCACAACTCTCCCAAACCTGTCTGGCCTTGACCAGTAACCCTGGCTAGTCCAACGTTTTGCTGTTGTAGAAGCCAGGCCTGGAACAGTTCTCAAGGTGTTGAGAGGTTTTAGGGATCTCACAATAAGGAGCACTGAAACAGTGACATAGTTATTTTCTTGCTAATTCTTTTCAGGTCTTCTGATGACGTTAAAGGAAAACCTTGTGCTTGTCTTTAATTCCTTTCCAGCATTTGATGAGCTGTCTCCCTTTTTTAGAAAGAAAGAGCACGGGGTAGCAGAATCTGGCTGAACTTTTGAATAGTTCTTTATTATTTCTAGCATAATTATCGTTTTGTGGTTAATTTCAATATATGGCAAATGATACTGGTTTTGCATTTAGGGTAGAGATAAAAGTGCCTTTAAAAGATATTTACTAATATGAAAAAGCAAGTAATTTAAACATATTTAGTAAATAATAGCATAGGTAATGTACAGGTGGCAAAAATAGTGAAGCATGTGGTGAGAAAGATTGATTTTGTTAAACACTGGGCAGGAGGAAAGGCTGGAGTTTATTCAAAACTTGAAACTAACTGATGAAAGGCAGGAGTTATTTGACCAGCCAGTCTTTTGGGGTCAGTGCCTCAGCCCAGGGTAAATATTGCCTGGGCTCTTGAGATACTGATTGTAGGCTCCTTTGAAGCATGGTGTGCCTGCCAGGTGAACTCTGGAAAGACAGTTTCTTTCTAGCATCAACCCCACAGTCACTGGGATTTTATTTTGTTTTGGTAATGGTTTTCAGTATCTTTGAAATGCCCCCATCAGAAAGGTTAGGGATAAAAACTGGATTCTTGTGGCAGGTCAGAAAGCTGCACCTTGAGAGGGCGCAGTATCGAAAATAATTAGAATTAGAAGTGCAGATTGGAATGCCCAAGATGAGGCAGAAGTGCTCAGCCTGGGTAGCTACCAGGCCCCTGTGTGGGGATTGGATGTCATGACTTTTGCCGTTGGAGTCTGGCCCCTCTGCTGGGATTAGAAGCAGACAGGTTTGGGACCCTTCATCAAGGAGCAACCGAACTTAAAGAGGATCACTCTTGGGGACTTTATTTGCCTGTCAGGCTGTTGGTACTTAACTCCATAGGGCTGTGTTCTTACTAAATAGGCAAAGTGAGTTTGCAGCTCCTAGTTAACTACTCAGTGTGATTCCCACACAGGGCTATTGCTGTATGGGTTGAGTCTGAGCTTGGCTAATCCTTGCAGGACCCAAGACCTGGGCAGCAATGCTGGACTTTGACTGATGCCTGGTAGGGGCACCAGATCCTCCTTCCTAGCAGCCTACACTTTGCACATGGAGGTTGGAGACTGGTGTCCAGTGACCATCAACAACAAGGTCTGGTCGTAGTTATAGAACCTGAGCACAAAGATCTTAGTCCTTTAGCTTTCAGACACTTCCCCTAGAGGTAGCCTAAAACGAGAACTGTCGAGTCGTGACCAGTTGTCCTCTTTGGCCCTCTTGCTTCTTCCTGTAGTGCTTATAGAATCTCCTCTTTTAGAATCATGTTGCCCACTCCTCCACCTTCTACCACCATTACTTAAGAAAGCTTCAAATACCTTTTGTTTTTTTAAAAAAAAAAATCTACTTAAAATAAAAGGGGAAAATAAAAAGAAAAAAATACCTTAAGATTGCTAGTTAAGAAGTGCAACAGCACATAACTTTTTTTCTCCCCATCAGGAAACATCTGTATGGATTGTTTCATTACAACCCCACGATGCTTGGACTTGAATCGCTTCCAGATCCCACTGATACCTGGGAAATTATAGAGACCATAGGTAAAGGCACCTATGGCAAGGTCTACAAGGTAACTAACAAGAGAGATGGGAGCCTGGCTGCAGTAAAAATTTTGGATCCAATCAGTGTAAGTAATGGTAGTAAATTGCAACCACAATATAGTGTTTTATGCACATTGAGCATTCGGCTTCTTTTCCTGGTTCTAGGGATGATTTTCATGAAACCTGGCATGAAATCTCAGAATGAGTCATGATTTGTCAGCTCATCTGCATGAAGGGACTCCATTTGGAGTTAAAAATCTCCTTGAATTTCTGTTTCTTGTCCATTTTACTCTTGTTTTAGTTTTGACCCTCTGAGTTCATCAGTAATTTTCTTGGAAAGAGTAATGCATTTCACTCCTTTCTACAGAGGCTAGTCTCCTTGTAAGCTACAAAGATCTAGATTTGTGGTATTTATTCATCTTAGCCTGGCATCTTCTTCCAGAGCACTGAACACCGAGGTTATAATGCTGGAAGCTGTCTTGCACAGTGAGGTTATAGGTGTTCTATCCTGGGTGGGGTCCCTTCAAGCTACTTCTCCTTAACTGCTTTGAAAATTCAGACATTTAAAAATAAAAATAGATATTTATAGTAGTATTATTAAAGAAGAAAAGATAAAATAAAGACATTTTATTGTAATAATTAGTATGTTTTAATTGGGATCTGAATGTCCATTGTTAAGTATTTTCAAGATACAGTAATGATGACATTAAAAATATACAATATGCTTTATTAAGTGATATCATGCCTGTACCCACCCTGACACATTAGACTTAATCTGGCATGTATTTTTTACCCTGTGCAGGATATGGATGAAGAGATTGAGGCAGAATACAACATTTTGCGGTTTCTTCCTAATCATCCCAACGTTGTAAAGTTTTATGGGATGTTTTACAAACCGGATCACTGTGTGGGAGGACAGCTGTGGCTGGTCCTGGAGGTAAGAGGCTCCCGTTGGGTAACCATCCATTTAAACAGAGCACCAGGGACAAGCAGATGCAATGTTGCTTAAATAGTGTAAGATACACATGTGAGGAGTTGGTCCCTCCTGTGTGTCATAAGTACCTTACCAGATGTGGCGTTCTCCTCCAGAGTTCTTATAGGTAGGCTGTTTGCTGAAAATGTTCATGTTTCTCTGCTTCATGTTAACAATCTTTTCTTCTCCTACCGAGTGAATATAGGAGTGCAGCTAGAAAAGGTTATTTTCTTCCTTAAACTGGGAACATTTCGTAGAAAACACGTTCCAATTGATTGCAACTCATTTTCAAAAATTGCTAACCCAAGGTTTATTGGACTCATCAAGTTTGGATTAGTCCTTTCATATTCATTAATCTTCATCTTAGATCAGGTTCCCTCAAAACAGACTGAGCGTCACGTGTGGCAGGTTTACTGGAGAGTTCTTGCAGGAGCTAGACCTGGAAGGAAGTGAGGAGGGCAAGACTGGGTGAGGGAGACCTGGAATAGCAGTGCAATTGCAACAGAGGTCTCTGCCCATTCTCTAGGAGTTAGAGAGCGTGGATGCTTTTGTAGAGCTGTCCTGGGTTGTACCTCTGCATCAGCCAGTCACAACTGTGTGCCACCCTGAAGGGGGTGTGACCTTAGGGGAAGCAGTTCCCTGTAGCCAGGGGAAATGCCTAGTGAGTGGTGCTGTTGGGAACTGGGAGTAGCCAGTGTTCCTGGCAGCATTCCCTCTGAAGAAGAAATCTGAAAGGAGCACCACTGTATCCACTGTGATCCTGCCTTTTTTCTTCCTTATTAATGGTAATGAATGTGTGTATCTGGGTGTAAAAGAGTCAATTACCTACCATTCCATTCCTCATGAGACTAAAATGGCTAAGGTATAATAATGATAATATATAAAGTTAGTAAATTAGGACAGGTCTGTCGCCTCATGCTCACTAGGCCCAGCCTGATTTGTTCTGGATTCTGCCCCTCTGAACCAGCAGATGCCCCGTGCCTGAGCTCCCATATGCAGTCCAGGAGCACGTGCACACATGTGAAAGCTTAAGAGAGAAGCACCAAGCAAGAAGAGGTCAGGTCTCAATTCATCATCTACCCTCTTGTCCGAATCTTTTGCCTGGCTGTGAGAGGGCCTGGGCATAGAACAATATATACTGGCTGCCATGGCAACTGTGTATGGAGAATTCATTTGTTATATTCAAATGGGGTAATCTGCAGGGACACCACTTTGTACATTTCTGTCATATCAATTGCCTTCCTCAGAATATGACTATGTAAGGGGCTTTGGTTTTCAAAGATCATCTTTGTCTATTTAGTTGGCCGGTTGTCATATATCACGTTCTCATAGTATCATCTTTTGGATTTTATTATTCCCTACCCCTTCCCCTGAAAACATATTTTATCCGGACAGTGAGCTCTAGAATAACATTAATTTAAAAAAAAAATTTTTTTAACATTTATTTATTTTTGAGACAGAGAGAGACAGAGCATGAACAGGGGAGGGTCAGAGAGAGGGAGACACAGAATCTGAAACAGGCTCCAGGCTCTGAGCTGTCAGCACAGAGCCCGACGCGGGGCTCGAACTCACGGACTGCGAAATCATGACCTCAGCCGAAGTTGGCCGCTTAACCAACTGAGCCACCCAGGCGCCCCAACATTAATTTTTAAAATGCTGTTTTTCTTAGAACATGGAAAGTATTGTTTCTAGGGTATCTGATTATATTCTTCTTCAGCTCTCTAAGATCTCCATGTCTTAAATCTCATTGCAATTTAATAATGGAAGTACAGTGACCAAGAAATCTTAGTTTCAGTTCATTTTCACCCCTGACTGAAAAAGGCTGTATGTTCAGACATGGGAACTGGAATTTCCAGGAATTTTCCAGGACTTTAAAAGAGGCCGCCCCTTGATGTGACCAGGCAGGCAGGTAGGCTTTTCAGGCCTGTGGCCACCTGGAGAATAAATGCTCTTCCTGATGACGATATTTAACATCAGCCCCTCAGGCATGGCCACGGCAGCCAGAAAGGGCTGGGCATGGCCTTGAAAGATGAGAAGGAGCCCAGAACTATGAACTAAGCCTCATGCAAATGCTCCCCTGGCAGGTGCTTGCTTTTTCAGGGTGACCACAGACAGGTAATGAAGTTGCCCCGTGATACTGAATTATTCATACATAAGCAATACAATATGCTGACATTTATGCTTTTTGCAAGTTGTTTTGGCCCATGCCAAAGTTGGTAGTATGGGGAACCAGATATCCTTAGTCTTTTTTGTCCCCGAATGGGCCATCTGTGTCAGGCTGCTGGGTGGTTAGGTGTGTCCAGTGCCTATAATATGCTTATAGAAAAAGGGACTCCTAGGCTTCTAGAACTGGCCTTGACCTTTCTTTAGGTCAGTCCCCTGGTATTCAGTTGAAGAGCAGAGGCCCAGGAAGGAGTGACATGGCAGAACTGGAGGGAGAACCACACTTGAGAACTTGTCTCCCGTCATGTGTTGCTGCTGCCTGTGGCACTGTCTGCCAGTCCTGGGAACATAGACTTGGCTTCTCTGGCTGGGAGCAAAACAGTTTCTGGACACACACACACACACGCACACACACACGCACAGCAGGAAGACCATGATGATCTACATAGCACCCTGATTATTTTGCTTTATCTGCAGTTTTTCAAGGCAAGCTTTAGGAGACTCACACAATAAACTTATGATCTGTTTAATATTGTTCTTATTATGTATATTGAGATTAAATTTATGTTACTTTTGCTCTTTCCTTGCTGAATGAGATGAAAGGACCAGTGAGAAGCTACTCTATAGAGCAATTAGAGAGGATAGAAAAATGTTATTAATAGCCCCCTTAAATCATCACAACTCTGAAAACAAAAGCAAATAAAAATGTCATTGCTGAAATTCATTACTAATTGTTAGCAGAAAGTAAACCAAAGGTCTCTTTCATGACAGACACCTATTATATTAGAAAGGTGTGGAGAGAAAACACTTACACATAATAACATTTGGAAAATTTGTGAATAAGTTTTCATCTAAATGAATATTAAAATTTAAAACTCCGTAAGTCCTATTATCTCTCACCTAAATGAAATATAATAAGAATTTAGACCTTTAAGAAAAGCATGGTATTCAGAAAAAATACCTAGTATGTGCTAAGGCATAAACTATATTTTCTCTTTTTCCCTTTTAGCATAAAATGTTCAGCAGATAGAAACTGTTAATTTCAATATGAATCATGTGTTAAACTTAAAAGAAATGGTTTGGAGTTTAGTGCACATAAATGAGGCTGTAAAGTAAAATATTTATAAAACCGGATAAAATAATTAGCTTTTTAAAAAATTGTTTTATTTCATCGGAGATTTGTGTGTAAGTTCAATAACTAAGCCAGGTTGGAGTGGGGGTGGGGAGGGAGACACCTGCGTCCAGACACCTGCTTCTGTTTAAGGCCCTAGAAAGTCCTGGATAGGGCTGAATTTCATTGCAAGTGTTATACTTTAAAACCGTTCTCACCCACTGATATTGTGGCATGAATCAAGTTTATCATGTGAACGAACCAGGGTTGCAACAGGGCTCTGATGGGTTGGAACCTAGGACTGGTACTTTGGGTTGACCAGAGATGGTTAGCAAGCACTGCTTCAGACAGCAGCCTCTGGTGGGGTTCTAGAATGAGAGTCACTGGAGTGCTGGGCGTCAGAAGGAAGGTATAGGAACCCTGGGAGTGGAGAGGAATTTGCATCCTATGTACATGTACTGTCTGTGCTCAGAGAAAGCAAGGGAGAGTTTGAAGTGTGACAGTGACCCTGTCCACCCTTGAGAGAGACAAGATGGAAGTAGGGAGTCTTGCGGCCCACCTGCCTCTCAGAGTGGGAGCATCTCTCCACTGTGACTGGAACTCTAGAGTTGCAAGTGACACAGTGTTCATTTTTCTTGGTACAAGCCATTGGCTTCAGCTGGTGTCAGCAAAATGAACACAATCTGCCCCAACAGTGTGGAGGAAAAGTATGTTGTTCTGGACTTACTGAGAGATGGATGGTGTCCAACAGGGTGCTTCCTGAGGCATCTTATTCAGTAGTTTTGACAATTCTTATCTTTTGCTTTATGCCCTCTGTAGAGCCTAACACACCTGAAAGATAAAATCCACTGAACAAAAGGGCACCAAAGAGAAATTCCTCTGAATTCTGCAATCTGACTAGGTCAAATCAACATGCCAGTACAGAATCTACTTGCAAGTTGGAGCTTTGACTAGAATAGAGGCCTGTTGATTGTACTGCATGGGCCATTCTTTAATAACATGGAGGAAAGTTGATGGCTTATTGAGCAAGGAACATTTTATTGCTTGAAATTATGGCCATCTTAGCAAGTGCACATACTGTGATTGAATCAATATTCAATGGTGTTTTGGAAAATAGGTGTGGTACATAAATGATTTTTCTATTTTTCTTGGTTTGCAGCAAAATGCTCATTAAATTCTAGATGCATCCAGCTGCCACATTTCCTGAATGCTGAGGGCATAGGGAGGAAAGCAGGGATGGTGACACACCTCTGTGTTTGAATCTGATGGCTGGCAGAGTGGGTGGGAATGAAGGCCTGCAGGTGCCAACATTCAGGGGTGGGGCGGGAGGCACGGTTGCCTTCTTACAGTTCTAAGGGGATTATTTATTTAATGCAGGTAAATGTAATTCCTTGTCATGCTTTTAAAATATTCATTTCACTGAACATTTGTACTGGTAGGACAATTGTCAGTGTGTACCTGCTTTCCTTTTTTGTACCAGGTACCCACAGTCCTTTTTCTGTAACCCACAGGTTGCCCTTTAAAACTTTGCTGGGGAGCTTTTCAATTTCACAGGACAGCTTCCTCTTAAGGGGCCCTGAACAGTTTAATTGTATGTTTTTGTGAAGCACAGGAAGTCACACAGCTCTTAAACTCTGACATTTAGTGAACAAAAGGCACCTACCCAGTAAGATCCTTTTGTTGTTTTTAAATCCACAGCTCAGTTTTGATCCTGCTGACAAAATGGCTGCTCTTAATCTCTTCACAGGTTCTAGAGCTATGAAGACAGTTTGTTAAGTTGGCTACCTATATAAAATATCGCTGAATAGGCTTCTGTTGCAAAAGTGGCCACTGTTAAAGTAGGGCAGGAGATACTAAAATGAGGTTTCAGGGAAAAATTCCAGGGTTGAGTTAGCTTGGATCATCACCCAGCATTTAATTTAATTTTTCTCTCAGTAGAATTTTAATAGTGCACTTGCAGTTCAACAAAGCATGTGCCTCCCTGAGACAGGGGCCAGGCTGAGGGGAGGCTCTGATGAAGGGGTTATAGTACCTTGTACTCCTATTACTGCTTTGGCTTTAGAGGATCAAAGAACTTTATTGCTGTTTTCCTTAGTCTCACAAGATCCCTAGGCTCTCTTCTTTACTTTCTACATCCAGTTGGTCAGAAATTACAGCAGATTCTATCTCCTAAAAGCCTCCTGTATCTGTCCCTGAATCTTCATCCTCATGACTTTTGCTTTTTGACCTTGCCTTTCTTGATTGCTTCAACACCTCCTAGCAGGTGTCCAGTTTCTGATGTCTTCCTATTCTGTCTGCTCTCCAGTCTGCTGCCCTGGTCTTTGTAGAATACGAATCTGAACAGAGACCTCTTGCCTAAAACTTCCCATAGCTTACCATTCCTATCTAATGATCTATTATGGTGTTGTAATACATGTGTGTATAGTAATAAAGCCCATACTCCTTAGCAGGGCACACCTGTCATTTCCTGCTCCCCACCTTCCTTCCCCATCTCCCTGCCCTAGGATTCTGGCACCCTTTGTTCTAATAGTAGCTCAGTATTTAGATGATAGATGCCCTTCCCTTTCTTGTCCACCTGCTGTAAACTCATTTGTTCCTTTAAAGTCATTGTAAATGTTACATCCTCTGAGAAGATTTCCCTGACTGTCTCCTCCTCACTCTATCTCAGGAGATGCCACCATTCCCTTTTTGTGCCACCACACTCCCTTAAGCACACCCTTGCTTCCACATGCCATACCCTATTACTCATGTGTCCATTACTGGTGGTGACCTCTTTGAGGGCAGGGACTATATTGTATTCATGAATGAGTAATGGGTCATAAGCTGAACAGTCACAAACTATTTAGAACAAAGAGGTAAATTTCTTTTCAATAACTGAACTCAACTTTGTTCTTGAGCCCCCAGCCTGCCTAGAGAAGACAACTGATTTTAATTCATTCTGTTAAACTTAGTCCAACGGAGTGACTTCTTTGGAAAGGGGCAGATTCTATTTATATCCCATTTTCACAGTCTGGGTCAAAGCTTAATCATTTGGGTAAGGACTTAAATTTTTTAGAGCCTCTTCTTTTCTTCTTCCTCTTCCCTTCTCCCTGGGTGGCACCTGGATCTGGGTACAGGAGATGCTCAGATAAAGCTATAACATTGAGGACAGGGGCCTTGAATTGTGTGGTGAACCCTAAGTCCCCATACCGTCTGGCTTTGGTATCTCTCCATGTCCTTGGTCCCTGATACTCCTTCCTATTATGAGGTCCTCACTTTTTTTGTCCTTCTCATTCAGCCTCTAGTCTTGTCCCTGTCTCCAAATGGAGCATAAAGTTCTGAATCTTCTGCAAGTCATGAGTGGGATGTAGGGAACTATCAAAATCCCAGCCTTGGTCAGCCTCACCTGCCCTGCTGCCATTTCTGCTCAACATGGACACCTCTTTGTTGTCATGAAGCTTTATAGATTGAAAGATTTAAAGAGTGAAAGAGGGTCATGAGAAATTAAAGTTTTATTACAGTTGTTTCCTTATTTAACCCCTCAAGAGGGAGCAATGTCACTCTAACCTTGTTCTCTCAAGCTCTCTAAGCTCTATGCCACCAACTTTAGAAGGGCTTTTCTTTTTCTTGAGAACTTCCCTTATGTCACGTCCTATGTTGTTCCATGGTCACCATTTGATTCTGTGGTCAGTTCTCCAGTATTTGTTCCTTGAAATGTAGAATCTAGTTTATGAAGTTCTAGAAAATTATTTATGTCTGGTGAAAGAAAGCTGAGCTTTTAAGACTATTATACAAATCATGGTACTAAAAATGCATTCATTGCCCAAAAGGATATTAGGTTGAATAGTGAATGTTATTTGCCCTTTCAGGGTCACACAAAACATAGAATCAAAAGAATGAGGAATCCTTTGGAAACCATTATTACCCTGGTACTCAACGTTAGGGCCATCAGAGTGATCGGTGTTGAATGACAAGTTACACCTGACATTGGTAGAGAGTAGATTCCAAGGGAACTTCAGTTGCAAACTGATGGGACTTTTGTCACCTTCAGTGCATTTCACTGTTTTCAGGGTGCCTCCTAAATCGTTCCTGATAGTAAGTTTGTTGTAATTTTAAAGACTGCTAATTCTGTATTAGATTTTTAGTCATACTGTTGCTTATGAGCAATTTAAATGGTAAAAAATGGGCAGATTCAGTTCCAGGTAATTTTGATTGTTAATGTGTATGCAAGGTATCTGCCATATATGTAGCAGGGAATGATACACACGTAAAATAAAAACATCTACTCATCCTTTATTAAAACATTGCAGATATTCATAATTAGAGTCAAATAGATCTAAAGAGTTGTCTTCTTTTTTCTTTTTTAATATATG